AATAGACCGGAGAGTAAAGTAAGATTGATTTCTGTTCTCAACTTGAGAAAAGAAAGATTTTTGCGGTAGTCCCTTATCCTACGAGTCTACTAGGGTTTTATGTGTTAAGTGGGAGGAAAGGCGCTATTATTTATGAGGGCCACAAGTAACTGAAGAACGAGAACCTTACTGCTCAGGATATCTGAATTTCCCATATTTCTAAAGCTGTATAATATATTATTATAATTTCCCAATCAAGTATTATGATATTTCCTCCAGTAATCTCGTATGAGTATTACTTATTACTGAGATATTATAATTTAAAATGCACTAACCTTGTGGAATTAAATGAGTAGTTAGTGAACTACCTAGGTTGAGGAGTGAGCAAAACTAGAAGGCTTATGGGCAAACATAAATGAAAGGTGTAAGGACAACAGAAATGGAAGAGCAGACCTGGATGGCCTTTGACCCAGAAAGATAATTGGAACGCCTATGGATGACAAAGATAACTGGACGACTTACAGAAGAGTAGGCGGCTAAAATATGCAGGGTAGGGGTCGGCCTAGGAAAGGTTGGAGGGAGGGGTTTTAAGGTTTTGTGTGCGAGGGGCTTGGACTTCCAGGAAGCGTGCGTGAGCGTATTAGGTAGGAGCAAATGGAGACAAATGGCTTTTAGGACTTGACGTGCTGTTGGAGTGTAATCAAGGTAACATTTATGAAGAGATTCAGGGAAACCGGCAGGTCGGATTTGATTCCTGAAGATGGGAAAGCACAGTACCGGCACTTTGAAGGAGGGGTTTATGTTGCAGTTTTATAACTGTAGTATCAGCACGCCTCTGGCAAGACAGTGATGGAGTGAATGATGATGAAAATTTGTCTTTTTTCGGGCCACCCTGCCTTGGTGGGAAACGGCCGATGTGTTAATAAAAAAAAGTAGGTAACAACCACAAGAATTTAACATCAACACTGAAATTGTCCATACTGTGACTTGGACTTAAGGTGAAGGGCCTTTGTATCTTATAGGAGGGAAGATACTGTGACCTGGACTTAAGGTGATCTACCTATCTGTAGTCGATTCCGGAGGTCATCTTCCCCTCTTCCCGATGCCAGATCCCAGAAGAGACCTGACTGATGGCCTGAACAATCAGACTGTCGGTACTAGTAGCACCTGCTGTCTAGACTCGAGATAGATAATTCTTTACAGTGAGCACCGAGCAGGAGGGAAGAATACTAATTGATGGCTGGAAGTGATTACATATTTTTACAGTTATACACAAAACCTTACACAAGCCTGCTACTGCTCCAAACACACACACACACACACACACACACACACACACACACACACACACACACACACACACACACACACACACACACATTTTCAACAGTACAGGGATAACGATAATATTACAAGACTAAGAACTCTTTGAAAGCAGAAAAATAGAGATAAGTGAATACTGAACATGAACAATTTGTGATAGAAAGGTCAACAGTCCTGCGAGAGTACAAAACATTTAATAGATTTGAGGGTAGTACGTACCTGTGTGGATGGATGGATGGCTGCTCTCAACTTACTTTGTTACTCTCACACTTCAAGAATATCACAGTAACACACTCGGTGTGTTATTAAGATATTGTGTCATCCTCACCTACAAGTCTTGACCACAAGTAATAATTCATTTTGATTCAGTATAAAGATCGATCTATCTACAGTTTATTTCTATGCAGTTATACTGGATTCATTTTTCATCTTGTTACTAATGTTGCGAAAAATTATAAAATTCATTGTAGGAAAATAATGATAACAGATGATGGCGTTTTATATATATCCTAATAAACCAAGAAAACTAAAATACAACTGTAGTTCGATTTATTTATACAGTCTTGGTTCTAGAAATACTACCGTTTGGGCCAATTGTCGCCATCTGGTTTGGGGTCATACGCTGGGCCTTAACTGATTTTATGGAAATCGCACAATGCATCAGATTTCACAGATCTGCAGATTGCTCATGGTAATTCCGTGGGCTTACATCTAAAGGACTCAAGTTCGAACCTCGGAAGAGTGGGGACGTTAGGCATGTTTCCTCACACCTGTTGCCCAGATTCACCTAGCAGCCAGTGGGTATACGGCTGGAGATAAAGGTATCAAATACTGACGAGATGGAAAAAAAGACACAATTAGTATAATGTGATCCTTTATTGGCTAGGTTTTACCCACACAGTGGGCTTTATCAAGTTACATATCTGTTTTGTGACTTGATAAAGCCCACTGTGGGCGAAACGTAGTCAATAAAGGATCACATTATCTTGGGTTACTAACCCTCCGATTAACAATCAAAATATACTCCTCCACAGCAAGGTTAATTTATAATCTGGGTCGAATAAGGTGAATAGACTTGTAGTATCGCTACAATAGATTGAGTATCTATACTGTACACGTTCAGAGGACAGGCTCGTAGCATCGATACAATGGTGTTGTGTGCCCGAATTGTATGTATTAAGAAGCAGTACGTCCACCTCATTTAAGCTCACATCAGTAAGTGTAATGCGAGTGTAGGGGTTAACCAGGTGCAAGTTTTGGCTCCAGAGAACGTGATCGGCCGCACAATGACGGCATCAGCTGCTGCGGGAGACACACAACTGTTACAATAACGGTCACCGCTCATCATCACTCTAACATCACTCAAATTCACCACTAGCCTACCAACACCTCCCATACCAACCCTATTACACCAACACCAATCGTCCAACCACCTCCCATATAATGTCTCTCACACTAACGCCTCCCATACCAACCTCACCACCTCCCATAACATCGCTTACCAGCTCAGTGGTAAAGCATTGCTTCACAATCAAAAACTTCCGGGTTCAAACCAGGGCTTAGCGAGACGTATGGATAAGTCTCCTTACACCTGTTGTTACTGTTCACCAAGCAGTCATTCAGTGCCCACCTGCGTCTGCTGCTGTGGGTCCGGAATGAGGACAAAAGGACCCCAAGGTAACCTAAATGCGTTTCAGTCACTATGCGACTCATAAAAACATAAAGAAGGAGCACTGTAGCAGGCCTACTGGCCCATGCTAGGCCCTGTACCTCTCGTAAGTCCACCCCTCTGTACCTCAGTGCAGCGCTGTATAGCCCTTGTGGCTTAGCGCTTCTTTTTTATTATAATAATCTGTACCTCAGTGCAAGCAAAATTAATTTATATAAAGTGCTTCATAAGTTTCTAATGGAGTTAAATATCAGCAGAGGCATTCACAGGTTTTCACATGGAACTTTGTCTCAATTTCTTCAATAGAAATAGCAACCTGGCACTTACATAACCCATAACCAATGTGAAGCTTCCAGTGGGAAAGACACACCAGTGTTAGTCTGAAACTGACCAGAAGATGCATTCTCCAGCTATCGCACAGAATCCAACAATTCCAAGTTTGTAATAATGTTGGTAGAATTACTGACAATATGTAAAGTAAAAGGACACAAGTGCAACTAATGTGACATTTTATTGTGGCAACGTTTCGCTCTCCAGGAGCTTTGTCAAGCCGATACTTGTGTCCTTTTACTTTACAATTCTAAGTTTACCAACTATGTCAGGAAATTGACAAATTTGCATCTACACGCCCTGTGAACCACCATACTGAGACGCTGGAACAGGAAGACAGCAGGCCGTGAAGACTGTTCTGATTATTAAGATACAAATATACTTATTTCTTTTCTGCATTATACAGGTAATGTAGTTTACATTAGGCACAGGAGAAAGGTACTAACTAGCACGCGCGGCATTTCAGGCAGATCTTTTTTTTTTTTTTTCGGATTTTTACCCAAGGGTTAGCCTGCCAGGATAACGAAAGAAAGTCAGTGCGTCATCGAGGACTGTCTGTCTTGAAGATTGAGACACTTATGCAGCATATGGGAATCTTTATTCAGGAAACGTTTCGCCACAAGTGGCTTCATCAGTCCAATACAAAGAGGAAGGCGTAATCTACAAGATTGATGGACTGAACACATCGACTCCAGGCTGAGGGACTGATTACCTCATACTCCTCCTCTCCTTACGCCTTCCTCTTTGTATTGGACTGATGAAGCCACTGTGTGGCGAAACGTTTCCTGAATAAAGATTCCCATATGCTGCATAAGTGTCTCAATCTTCAACTTGTCGGTTTTTGCAAAAAATTCATCACAACTGTCTGTCTTATTTCCATTGTGGTCCTTCAACCTTGTCCTCCAGGATGAGACCCACACCAGTCGACTAACACTGAGGTACCTACTTAGTGCTAGGTGAACAGGGATGGCAGGTGTAAGATGACTAACACCTACTTACTGCTAGGTGAACAGGGACAGCAGGTGTAAGGAAACATTTCCAATGTTTCGACCATGCTGGGGATCGAACCACGGACACTCAGTGTGAGGCGAGACACGGAGGGTCAGTATTATTATAATCAAGGGGGAAGCGCTAAACCCGGAGGATTATACAGCGCCTGGGGGATTATGTGGAAGGCATTCAGGCTTAATTCGGGGACCTGGATCACAGATCCAATTCCTTAAATCAAGAGCCCCTAACCAACATCAAGGAACCTTCCTTGAGGGGGGAGGGTCAGTAATCCATGATAATTTATTAAAAAGCCCCCTCAAGGAAGGTTCCTTGATGTTGGTGAGGGGCTCTTGATTTAGGGAATTAGATCTGTGCTCCAGTTCCCCGAATTAAGCCTGAATGCCTTCCACATTCCCCCCCCCCAGGCGCTGTATAATCCTCCGGGTTTAGCGCTTCCCCCTTGATTATAATAATATTAAAAAGCCACTGTCATCTAACTGTCTGACTTACGCCCAGGTACATACATACTCCTAGACGAATATACCCAACGTTTCCACACCGGGGTTCGATCCCCTGAACCCTCAACGAGTAAGCAGAGGCTGCTACCAAGAGCTGGGCCTTCAGTAGTGTTAAAGAGCCCGGAAGCCCTGCTCACTCATGCAGCCTTCTGCATATTTTCCCTCCTTCCCAGAGCATTGTGAGTACTCACCAGTGTGGCGTGACGCAACAGAGTAGAAGGAAGCAGCAGCACACAACACTAACACCCACCGCCACACTGACACAGAGGTAACTGAAGCAGTCTGCACACGTCAACCCCCCTGATGTCAGGCTAACACTACGTTTTCTGTAGTAAATTCGTTTTCACTATTTCTTCTCTTTAATTTCTCGACCCACGTGGCCACAAACAGATAAATATAAAAAATTGTTATAGTCATAACCATAATTTTTAGAGTGGGCCAGTAAGCCAGCGGAAGGCCTCGGTCAGATAACCAAAAGCTCCAGCTGTGAGTCATCATATAGTAAGTAAATAAGTTTATTCAGGTATATACACAAATATACTAGTTACATAAGTTATCACACAGCAGCATATGTGTAGATTTCCTAAGATAACACAAGAGAGTCAGACTAACCCATCATAAATGCATACATATGTAAAAACGATACATGCATTTGCTCAATATCACGAACATAGGTAAAACTCTCTAAATATAATCAATATAGTTACTCTCAATATCTGTATTCATCTCAAATTTAAGCACTCCATTGTGGCCGCCTAAGGTCTTCTCTACTTGATTTATTAAAGCCATATAGCATGACATAATAGAATACTCAGTTCTCTTGTATTCATTGTAACTCATCTATTGCCTTATTAATCTTAAGTTAATTTAAGTTTGCCCGAAATGTTCTGCATATAAAGAGGCTTTTGGCATGTAAACCTAACAATTATATTCCTTTGTATAAACATGTATCATCTCAAAATAAAATATTATTATAATTATTATTATTATTATTATTGTGACGTTCCGATCTGGAGTGAGCCATATCACGTCTACAGAAAAGCCTAAAACTACTAAACTATGTACCCTCGTGAGGTGGAGAGGGCAGGAGAGGTCACGTCATATGCAGCAGAGATAGAGAAGCGGGAGGTCAGGGGTCACAGATGGCGTCGTGTAGGTACAGGAGGGTCACCAAGCAGTAGATTTGCAAAGGGGCTTTTGCTAGGCTGAAAGATCCCTGATTCTGCTTGATGGTGTCACTTCCCTTGATGATAGCAGCCACCAGACACTTCTTTCTGATTCTGTTGCCCTCTTAACAGATACCCCACATATTAGAGAGAAAACTTTTGACGACGTTTCTACCTTGGACTCTTATTGCTCCAGACTTTTATTCATCTGTTAAGATGATTTTGTCCGTATCAGATTATGAGGTGCGCTTGTTAGCGTACGACGCAGATATCGTCACACAGCCTGCCAGTGTATTTGTGTGAGGTACACGCCGCTGGTTGTGTATAAACTGAATAATGCACACCAGTTGGTGTATATATACTGAAAGGTATATGTTACTCATTGTATAAACACTGAGATACATATAACTTGGAGTATATGCACAGAGGTACACACTGTTTATATATACGAGAACTATACACCACTCGGTGTATATATGCAAAGAAGTACACTAGTGGGTATAAGCGGAGATAATACACCACTCGATGTAAGTATATCAAGAGGAATATACCAATCGGTGTATATACACTCAGAGATTTACACCTCTTGGTGTATATGCAACTGGAAGATACACGCACACCAATCAGTGTGCATACACTGAGAGATATACACCTCTGGGTGTATGTACGTATGAGAGGTACTCGCTTTTCTGTTCATATACACACACTAAGGGCTACATACCACTCTGTATATGTACAAAGAAAAGCACATGTATATGTACAAAGAAAAGCACACCAAAAGAGATATACACCACTTGGTATATATATATTGTTGAGGTGGTTTCGTCATTTAGAGAGAATGGATCAAAGTAGAATGACATGGAGAGCGTTTAAATCTGTAGGGGAGGAAGGCGGGGTAGGGGTCGTCCTCGAAAAGGTTGGAGGGAGGGGGTAAAGGAGATTTTGTGGGCGAGGGGCTTGGACTTCCAGCAAGCGTGCGTGAGCGTGTTAGATAGAAGTGATTGGAGACGAACGGTATTTGGGACCTGACGATCTGTTGGAGTGTGAGAAGGGTAATATTTAGTGAAGGGATTCAGGGAAACCGGTTATTTTTATATAGCCGGACTTGAGTTCTGGAAATGGGAAGTACAATACCTGCACTCTAAAGGAGGGGTTCGCGATATTGGCAGTTTGGAAGGATATGTTGTGTATCTTTATAGGTATATGCTTCTAAGCTGTTGTGTTCTGAGCACCTCTGTAAAAACAGTGATTATGTGTGAGTGAGGTGAAAGTGTTGAATGATGATGAAAGTATTTTCTTTTTGGGGATTTTCTTTCTTTTTTTTTTTGGGTCACCCTGCCTCGGTGGGAGGAGGCCGACTTGTTATATATATATATATATATATATATATATATATATATATATATATATATATATATATATATATATATATATATATATATATATATATATATATTATTGCCGAATAGGCAGAACTTGCGATCTTGGCTTAAATAGCAACGCTCATCTTGCCATATAAGACAAGTGAAAATCTGTGTATGCAATAATTTCGCCAAAATCATTCTGAACCTAACGAAAAAAATATATTTCGTTGTGTTTGCTTAGTATTAAATTATTGTAAACGTATCTAAAATATATTTAGTTGGATAAGACTAAAATAAATTACGCTTGTTATAATAAGGTTAGGTAAGTTTTCTAAGATTCTTTTGGTGCAAAATTATAATTTTTTACATCAACATTAATGAAAAAGATATATCTTTAAACGTACAAGAGAAAATTTTAGAAAGGACTTAATTTTAAATGAGTTCTTGCTAATTGACCAGTTTTACATATTCGGCACGACATATATATATATATATATATATATATATATATATATATATATATATATATATATATATATATATATATATATATACCAAAAAGTACACACATCAGTTGCTGTGTTGACACAGATATACCGCTCTCTGTATACATACTACACCCACTCACGGATTTAATACTTTTCATAGACTACACTAACCATTTCTGGTCTAATGTTTTTTTTTTTTTTTTGGAGAAAAATGGTCTTTGCATATGTTGCGATTTAATATGTTGCCACCGTTATATGTTGCCACCATTTTAAAAAATCCAAAACACTGCAACACGTTTTGGTTACAGTGAAGTGTAGGGAGAAGCTCCATTGATGCATTCTAGAATTCGTTATACGGTCAAGTGTTTTCTGAAATTTTGTGGTACAGTTATGTTAGGTAAGGTTTGTCAGGGAACAGGACAAGTGTTTCTTGACGCGGGTCTTAGTCATATGATGATCCGCAGCTGGAGCTTTTGATCATCTGACCGAGGCCTTCCGCTGGCTAACCAGTCCACCCCTTTAAAAACTAAGGATAAATCTATATAGTCATGTTTTGTTTGTGTGGGTAAAGTAGATGGTTGCTAAGGAAATAAATGGTTGAAGGAGGTATTTAAGGCCTCATGGTCTGCAAAGATGCATATTGACGACATTCTGGTGACATTACTTGTTTGAGAATTATTATTATTATTATTATTATTATTATTATTATTATTATTATTATTATTAACCAGCATGGTTCAAATATGGCAGATCTTGTCTTGTCAACCTACGGGAGTTCTATTACAAAGTAACAGAGATGAGGTAGGAGAGGGAGGGGTGGATTGCACTTTGACAGAGGTTGAGGCAAAAACCTCAAACCTAAAGTGCTTTAGGAGAAAGAGAAAAGAATGATTGTCATGGAAGACACACCAGAATAGAGAAGAGTAAGAAGCAGGTTCCACTTCTGGTTTATGGAAATGTATCCCTGTATTCCTCTTTGGTGTTGAAGTGAAGTATCCCTGTATCCCTCTTTGGTGTTGAAGTGAAGTATCCCTGTATCCCTCTTTGGTGTTGAAGTGAAGTATCCCTGTATCCTTCTTTGGTGTGGAAGAAAACCTAAAGTCAACGAAAACGGATGAGGAAAGAGGCTACAAATAGATCTGGACAAACTTTAAAATAGGTCGGATAAGTTGGTTCTTGAATTCATCCCCAGCAAATGCAAGGTTATGAAGAAAGGGGAAGGAACAAAAAGATCGCACTCGAAATATAAACTCGGGGGACAGAGGATGCAGAAATTACTCAAAGAGAAAGACCTAGGGAGTGACCCAAATATCTGGCTTATCGCCAGAGGCTCAAATCTGGCGAAAAGCTTTGAAGCCAATGCTCGTCTGGCAAATCTAAGTGTTCTCTTCTGCCACTAACTTTATAACAAAGTGAGCACATTGTTTGGTGCAGTGTTCTCTTCTGCCACTAACTTTATAATAAAGTGAACACGTTGTTTGGTGCAGTGTTTCTCTTCTTGCCACTAACTTTATAATAAAGTGAACACGTTGTTTGGTGCAGTGTTCTCTTCTGCCACTAACTTTATAATAAAGTGAACACGTTGTTTGGTGCAGTGTTCTCTTCTGCCACTAACTTTATAATAAAGTGAACACGTTGTTTGGTGCAGTGTTCTCTTCTGCCACTAACTTTATAATAAAGTGAACACGTTGTTTGGTGCAGTGTTCTCTCCTGCCACTAACTTTATAATAAAGTGAACACGTTGTTTGGTGCAGTGTTCTCTTCTGCCACTAACTTTATAACAAAGTGAACACATTGTTTGGTGCGGTGTTCTCTTCTGCCACAAACTTTATAACAAAGTGAACACGTTGTTTGGTGCAGTGTTCTCTTCTGCCACTAACTTTATAACAAAGTGAACACGTTGTTTGGTGCGGTGTTCTCTTCTGCCACTAACTTTATAACAAAGTGAACACATTGTTTGGTGCAGTGTTCTCTTCTGCCACTAACTTTATAACAAAGTGAACACATTGTTTGATGCGGTGTTCTCTTCTGCCACAAACTTTATAACAAAGTGAACACGTTGTTTGGTGCAGTGTTCTCTTCTGCCACTAACTTTATAACAAAGTGAACACGTTGTTTGGTGCGGTGTTCTCTTCTGCCACTAACTTTATAACAAAGTGAACACGTTGTTTGGTGCGGTGTTCTCTTCTGCCACTAACTTTATAACAAAGTGAACACATTGTTTGGTGCGGTGTTCTCTTCTGCCACTAACTTTATAATCTTTGAGAATCTTAACAATCATTCTAAGACCTTTAAACA